TCTTTTTTCAACAACATTAAATACATTAATAAAACCATTGTTTATAGCTCCAGATGCATCAGCAACTAATATAATTGGACAATAACTAATATTTTATAATTTCTCAACAGTTAATTGGGCACTTAAACATAAACTCAAAATCACTAGTTTTCTCATTTATACATAACGCAATACCAAATGGATGAAAAGCACACTGTTTATCAGTAGTACCCACAATCAATACAGGATAACCCTACCATATTAATTTATAAGTTGCATCTGCACATATATGATTTGAATTTAAACAATTTTTCATTAAATTTCTGACTGTAACAAATAATCTAAATAATGGATCGTCATCGTCATCTTTGATATAATAATTAGCAACAAAATATTCATCAGGATCATTTGGAATAATATATTTTTCAATACACCAAATTTTAATATAATTTAAACTAATTTGAGCTGGACCATATAATTTCTTGCGAAGAGTTGCCAAAAAGCTTGCAATGTGCGATGCCTTTGGTTGTATTATTTTCAATTTATCAAGTTCAGATAAAATAGCTTTCGGTGTAATGTATCGGTGCTAAAATGTGGAACTCACCCCGTTTTGAATGCAACAAATCTATTGTATATTGTTAGACAGGCTAAGATAATTTTTTTAACAAATGTCAAATAGCTCAAAATTAAAATTATTTTGATGAGTGATACGCCCGCTGTGAAATTTTCTTATTTAAAAAATTTTCGCATTGATATTTATTTTTCTACCAAATAACATCATTTATTCAGGATTGTTGTACGAAGCAAATTTATATATATTGATGTATACATTTTAAATACCTAATTTTTTCTCCTTATCCTACTATATAGGACGGATTCCATATGAAATGATAAATATTAATTTACTCTTCGTTTTATTGGTTTAACTACCGTATTAACCTGTTATGTACATCGATTTAATCGTTCATTAAATCTTCGAGTCTGCATTCCTTTCTCTTCATGATTTTTGGCGTATACTGTTGAATTTTGCCTACATTTCAATGGAGAAGCCTGTACTTTTCCATGTTCCGCTATTCTACTTTAGGTAGACTAACCATTTTTGCCACTTTACTTATTGACACCAAAATGAAATGCTTTTGCTATATTAATAATCATCTCGGCCCCTCCTGTCCCGTCCCATATTAATAACAGTTTGAATCTACAGACTTTCAGAATGATCTAGACACTATTATTACTTGTATTCTCTCGTTCCTATGGAAACTCGTGCAGAAATATTTAATTTTGCCCTCCTTTGGTTAATAAGAAAATTTATCCCAAAAATATTGATTTCGCGCCACTTGATTGTTGGGACCTATGGGGGTGGGGAGCCGGAAAACCTGGTTATACAACTTACACTCATTATTTTCTTCTATAATAAGTGCGAGTTCCACAAAAAAATGGGATTCACAAGTGCTTTTAGTAACCAAGTCGGCGTTTTACGACCGTACTTAATGCGAACAGAGCAGTCATCCTATTCCGCAATGTTGAACATTTCGGAACCAGTTCCGTCGATTCCGGAATTAGGTCAATATGAAATCGCTGGGAATTAGACAGAATTCCTAGGAATTCCGTGTAATTCCGTTCAATTCCTGTTCGACCTAATTCCCGGAATTCCGTACCGGAATTGCATAATGTCAGTGTGGGCGCACTGAATTCCGGAACCGTTGGGAATTAGGCGGAATCCGTACGAATTCCGTGTAAATCGGGAGTAATAAACGGATTTCCGGAAATTAGATGGAATTGATTCTGTGAGCGGAACTGTTTCCGGAATGTTAAACATTGCGGAATAGAATGTATTCTCTACGAACACGATATATATATATATATATATATACGACCACATACCGCACAAATATGTTACTGTATACGGTGCCGTAATACTGTTCACTGTAATACGGCATCATATACGAGGTCATATTTTCACTATATAAGGACAGTATCGTTCGACCTGGATAGCTCATTGAGCTAAGGAAGGAAACACCAAGTAAGCATTATCAATAGCTTCAAATATTTATGAATAACATAAAGCACACTTAACAGAATATATTTGAGACTATCTTGTATTTTTTTGATTTCAAATAAGGGTCAGTTTCAAACTTATTTAATAGATAGATTGAAAGAAGCGAAAAATAAACGCATGACATTCAAAAGTTAGATGTAGAAAGTGTCGAAAGTACCAGCCAAAAGAGTTTCGAAATTCAATGGAGTTTTAGTAAAATAGCACGGAGGAAATGAAATTCTTTATGAATACACCAAATCATCTATTTTTTGGTTCTAACTGCATAGGTATTTTATTGAGCAAATGCACAATGATGATCCATTTTACATCGCTGATGTGTCTCATTGTGCAAAACAGTACATGAAATGGAAACAATATTTACCTCGTGTGAAACCATTCTATGCTATCAAAACAAATCCAAATGATTTCATTATAAAAGTAATTGGAAAAATGGGCGGTGGATTCGATTGTGCATCGATTGAAGAGTTGAATGCGGTTCTATCGGTTTATCCAGATATTGATTGCTCACAACAAGTGATCTATGCGCATCCTTGTAAGCAAATTTCGCATTTGATCTATTTCAAAAATCGAGGTGTGCGCTTAACTGTTGCTGATAATACTGATGAACTAATCAAGATAAAAAGATATTGGCCAAATGCAAAAGTTTTAATTCGATTGAAAACAAATGATACTCACTCACTGATTGCTTTGTCAACGAAATTCGGTGTCCACGAGCGGATAGCTATTCGAATGTTTGATTTAGCCAAAAAGCTTGACATATATTTGGTCGGATGTACATTTCATGTTGGGACAGGGTGCTATAATACCACTGCATTCCTTTCCTCCATAAAGTTTGCTAAGATATTGTTTGATATTGCAAAAACAGCGGAATACAACTTCAAATTTACCATATTGGATATTGGTGGTGGTTTCCCGGGCGTTGCCGAAGAAAGCAAACCGAACTTTTCAGAAATGGCTCAAGTAATAAATCAAACACTGGATGAAATGTTTCCTGAAATTGAAGGTAGGTTTCATATTTTTTGATCGGCAGTGATTAGAGCTTTGTTTCATAGGTACTCAAATAATAGCTGAGCCCGGACGTTATTTTGCTGCTGCTTGTATGAATCTGGTCACATCAATTATTGGTGTTCGTTCCAATAACAGAGATTACACTGATATCTTGCCACTGGCAGAAAACGGAGTGTTAGATATAAATTCAATTGAAAATGTTGAAAGATATTACTATGTTAATGATGGTATATTAGGTTCGTTTGCCAATATTCTGTATGAAAAAGCTGTTTTCAGTGTTAGTTGTTTGCGTAAAAAAACAATGACTCTTCCTGATCCTAATGAGACACTATATAATTCAGCTGTATTTGGGCCGACATGTGATTCCTCTGATCAATTGTCACCTTCTGTGCATTTACCACTGATGGAGATCGGTGATTACCTTTGGTTCGATAATATTGGTGCTTATTCGAACTCAGCTTCGACCAATTTCAATGGATTCAATACTAAAAAGTACTTTTATATATGGAAGGATTAATAATCGTGAACATGAATCGGACAAAATAAAAGTTTTAATATAAACTTTTCTGATAATAAGCGGCTGCTTTCGGTGGACAGAAAATTTTGACTCAATTGATAATTTGAACACTTATATAGCATCAGTTGAAGGGGTACTGAGAACAGAATGCACTTTTCCATATTTTCCTATTTTCTTGACAATAATAAACCATTTTATGAAGCTCATTGTTAGCGTCTGCAGATGTCGTTAACAGGAGCTAAACGTCTAACTCTATATCTATCTCCTTTTATCTGATTGTTCTTGTTCTGTTACGTCATATTGGTCAATCAACTCACATGATTCATTTTCCAATATATATATATATTCCATTCGTTCTTCTAACTTCGTCATTCCATCTCTTTTTGTTTTGTTTTTCAACTTCTATTACGTCGTTCATCTTCAACGACTTGATTAAATATTTTTTGATCAAACAAATACTTGTTTGAACCAGCTATATAATCAATTATTTGGTGTAAGCCAAGGGGGACAAAGCGCGACTTCATCTACTTCAAAAAAATTTTGAAGTACGATGGAAGTACAATGGGCGTGTGAGCGAAGTACAATGGAAGTACAAGGAAGTACAAGGAAAAACAAGAAAGTACAAGGGAAGTACGAGGGAGTACGATAAAAGTACGAGGGGGTACGAAGGAAGTACGAGGGAGTACGAGGGAAGTACATGGGAGTACAAAGGGAGTACGGAAGTGCTGAAGTCGCGCTTTTCCCCTCTTGGTGTAAGCTCATTTCATATATTTAACATAGTAAAGTTCAGCGCTAAGTACTAACATCGCCTTAATCAGAGCTAACACTCATATATATTTTCGAAGAAAATAATCAGTATAGGCGTGATTTTAGGTGTCATATCAAATAAAGACTCTGCATTTCACTTCCACACCCATCGACATGAGACCTCCCAGTCATCGAGACTCTCCGCTCCAAGAAATTACCTACTTCCAAGGAAAATTTTAATATTTCCTGCCAGTTTTTACAGTTGCGCGATCAGCTTTGAGAGAAATGGTGTGTGTGTGTGGTGTGGTGTGAATCCCCTTTTGAAGACCAATGCCATTAACACTCACACCCAAAGAAGTGAGGAGACGGAAAACTTGTTGAGATGTGAGGAAAATAGGTGAAGAGCAGTGTACTAACCAATGTTTCTTTGACATGTTATCTGTGGTCGGTAATGGGATTCACAAGGTTTGCTCCGAGGCCAATGCAATGGATGAAAAGTAGTCTTCTGAGGAATGTGCCTTTCGCGTGTGATCTTGAATCAGCTAAGCAAGCCAAAACGCTTGCTTCGACCTGAGTAAAATAGGTGAGCCCAAGTATTTTGTAGAATCCTAGTTTGTCATGTGTTTTTCGTTCAGCTTAACCAGTCAGAAAGTTCTCTTCGAAGACAGGAAAAGAGGTGAGCAGAAACATTTTGGAGAAGGTCCAATTGCCGTGAGACCTTCGATCAACTGAAAATATTCCAACGTTTTGCGTCGAAGCAAGCAAAGTGGATCAACGGTAGCCTGGCAATCAATGTTCCTTCGGAGTATGATCTTGGAGCATGGTTGTGGGTCGCTACGTTTGCTTGGAGGTCAGCGAAAGCGGTGAAAGGAAACCTTCTGATTCACATTCTGTTACCATGTGGTGCTGGATCAGCTGAGTCAATCGCAAGGTTTTGTTTAAGTTGCGGAAATGTGATGAATACGAGTATATTGTATGTTGTTGCTTTGCCATGCCGCCTTGGATCATGTGAACTAGTCGAAATGTTTGCTTTGAAGGGCACGGAAAACGTAAACGGGAGAATTATGGAGAAGATTCGATTGGCATGCGAGCTTCGACCAACTGGTCGAAAACCAATGTTTGCTTTGAAGCGAGCAAAGGAAATGATCAGCCGTCTGCTAATTAGTGTTGCGTCGGCATATAATCTAGGATCGTGTGTGCCGGTTTTCAAGTTTTGCCTATAGGTAAGCGACAACAATGAATAGTAGTCTTCCCATTAGAGCTCCTCGGATATGTTATCTTGGAATTACGTGAGAGAGTGGCAATGTTTGCTTCCAAGTGAAGAAAAATGGTGAACAGAAGCATTTGCAGAATATTCCTTTTCACTGTGGTCTTGGATCAACTGAAGGAATGACAAAACTTGCGTCTAAGTGAGCGAAATAGCGAACAGAAATATCGTTATAAATATTCCATTGGCGTATGATCTGCGATCAACAAAGCGAGTCCCAACGTGTGCTTCGAGATGAACAAGGAAGGTGAATCAAAGTATCTTGTAGCATGTTACTTTGTCGTGCTATGTTCTCTTAGCTGAGCGAGTCGCAACGCTTGCTTTGAAGTCAGCAAAAGATGTGAAGAGAAGTGTTTTAGTGAATGTGTCTTTGTGATTTCATTTTCGATCAGTTGTGAAGTTTGAATATTTGCTTTGCAGTAAGCAAAATAGGAGGATGCAGGCCTCTTGTAGAATATTTCTTTGCGATGCAGCCTCCTATGAGCTGAGCAAATCCCAAGATGTGCTTCAAAGTGAGAAAATTAGTTGATTAGAAGCATCGCAATGAATATTCCATTGGCATGTGATCGGGGATCAGCTAAAAAGCCATAACCTTTTGTTACAAAGCTAGGAAAGAGGTGAAGAGAAGGATCTTAGCAAATGCTCATTTGCGATATTATGTGCGATGAGCTGGGTGAAGCGCAGCGTTTTCTGCGAAGTCAGGAAAACAGGTGAAACGATTGGTTCGAAATGCGGAAAGGAGATGAACAGAAGTCTGATAATGAAAGTTCCTTTGGAGCGTGATATAGGATCTGTCGATCGGATTTCAACCTTTATTTCCAAATGACCAAAACAGATGAAGAGTAGTCTCGTAATTAATGTTTGTTTGGCATGTGATCTTAGGTCACCTGAGCAAGTCTTAGAGTTTGCTTCGCAGCGAGCAAACGAGATGAAGAGACGTATGTTATAGTTTGTTGGTTTGGAATGTGATCTTCTGTCAACTGGAACTGGGAACGTTTTCTTTGAAGTTGGAAAGAGAGATGAACAAATATATGACCTTTGCTGATGTGATATGCATTAAATACAAGGGGGGAAAGGAGGGCTTTTGTATTTCAAGTTACTTCACGGTACTTTGAAGTGACTTTAGGCTACTTTGAAGTACTTCAAAGTACTTTTCGAATACTTTGAGCTACTTCTAGCAACTTCGGCGTACTTCAAGTAACTTTCGAGTTACTTCAAATAACTTTGACATACTTCGAGTAACTTCGACGTATTTCAAATAGCTTTGAAGTACTTCAAGAAACTTTATCTATCGTAGAACGTCATGGCACAACACTAAAAACGTATTTATTACATATTATGCGATGACTTTTGTATTATATTCTAACATTTCCTAGAAAACCTAGCAAACGCATTCAAATTAAACAAATGTTGCCGTAATTTATTTAAAATAAGCAATGAAAAGTAAAAAAACATCGAAGATCACACCTACATTAAATGAACTAAAACTGAGAAGAAAAACGTTCAAACGCGACTTCTCTTTGCTGGATGATTATTCTGTGACTGTGATGCCAAAAGACGTTTACTAGCTTGCATACTCTGATTTACTACGATCTGGGATTCAGTATGAGATGTTGGCATAGAAGTTGGAGAAGCATCATCAACTTTATCTAATTGTGAATTTGCTGAAGATGAAGATATTGGTCGATTGGATGTTAATTCAGCAGATCTCGATAATTCTTGTTGCGTGAGCCTTGAATCTTTTGCAGATTTTTTAATATTTTTTATATGATCGCAACCTTTGGATTGTAAGTGTTTGTAATAATTTGACGCTTGGATTTTCGAATTAATTTTGTGTACTCAAAAAGTGAGTACACTCTAGAATCGGTTAGTATGTCCGGCCATCCAGCCGTTAACACGATAACTTTTGAAAGCCGAATCCAATTGTCATGAAATTTTGTACACAGAATTATCTCATCGATATCTCAGTCGAGTTCGAAGATGAAAGTAATCCGTTAAGAATTTGTTGAGTTACGCAAAAAATATCCTTAATTTCTATGTGAATAGTGACCTATTCTATTTTATTATCATTTTTTTCTCAACCGCAAAGATTTATCATAATCAAATTAATTCTTCAACTATCATATACCATTAGATAGNCCTTGGCTCATGGATGACTCACCGGTCTGCACGTAACATTGAGACTACTGCACATTCAACATCTATCTCAAAGGATACTGACATAATCATTCAGAAAAATCTCGATAAAATGAATTTGACGTAGCATTTTGTGAATAACTAATTCAATACTAGCTACGTACGCCTTATCAAAAGGATCCGCTCGTTTTTCTTTTACACCCTTATTTACCAAAACAGAAATAAAACCAAATAGAAAGTCAACACGCACCTTTTGAATGCCGTAATAATAGTAGATCTAACACTAATATTCGGGCACGAAAATCCCTTAACCAACATTTTACAATATCTCTACTATTATGCATGTTTCTTCAATCATAGTGGATTTTCGTCCAATATGCTGTCGAATACATTGCACAACGTTTCTATCACACTACAAAGGCGCAATCCCACTTCAGCCAGTAAAAAAAACCAGTGTGATCGGCGTCAACAAAGAGCGCAAGAGTTTCAAATGCTCTTCTCAAAGAAAACATAACATTTACAACCTATTCTGCACATTTTTAATGTTACTTCTCACAAGTGCAATGTGCGGATGGTTTTCAGAAAGTACACTTTCCAATATTTCAAGCGATCTTTCGTATGATGAAAGGGCTTTCGAGTACTCGCCCATGCCATTATACAACATACCAATGTTGTTGTAGGTAGCAGCTATGTCAGGATAATTCGGGGGCTGAGCTATTTTGAGGATTTCAAGCGATCTTTCGTACGATGAAAGTGCTTTGGCGTGCTCTCCTATTTTATCATACACCATACCAATGTTGTTGTAGGAAGCCGCCAAGTCTGGATGATTCGAAGGGAGAGCTATTTTCACGATTTCGAGTGCTCTTTCGTGCGATAAAAGTGCTTTCGAGTATTCGCCCATGTTATCATACACTGAGGCGATATTGTTATAGGAAGCAGCCAAGTCAGGATGGTTCAATGGGAGAGCTAGTTTTCGGATTTCAAGTGATCTTTCATACGATGAAAGTGCTTTTGAGTACTCGCCCATGTTATTATACACTGAAGCGATGCTATTGTAGGAAGTAGCCAACGCGGGGAGATTCTGTGGGAGAGCTATTTCTCGGATTTCAAGTGATCTTTCATACGATGAAAGTGCCTTGGCGTACTCGCCCATTTTATTATACATTATGCCGATGTTGTTATAGGAAGTAGCCAAGTCAGGATGATTCGGAGGCAGAGCTATTTCTTGAATTTCAAGTGACCTTTTGTAAGATGATAATGCTTTTGAGTATTCTCCCATGTATCCATACACTGAAGCGATACTGTGGTAGGAATCAGCAAAGTCAGGATGGTTCGATGGGAGAGCTATTTTTCGGATTTCAAGTGATTTTTCATACGATGAAAGTGCTTTTGAGTACATGCCCAGGTGGCAATGTACTGAAGCGATGTTGCTGTACGGAGCGGCCAAGTCCAGATGATTTGGTGAGCGAGCCATTTTGAGAATTTCAAGGGATCTTTCATAGAATGAAAGTGCTTTCGAATACTCACCCATGTGACAATGTACTGAAGCGATGTTGTTGTATGAAACAGCCAAGTCGGGATGATTCGGTGAGTGAGCTATTTTGAGGATTTCAAGTGATCTTTCGAACCATGAAAGTGCTTTGAAGTACTCCCCCGTACTGCTGTATACGACGCCAAGTAGTTGAATATAACTCGCTTGCTCAATTTGGGTAGCTGTTTTTTCCAGAAGCACTTTATAGAGGTATTCCGCTTTTGAATATGCACCGAGTTTGATGAGTATAATACCTAATCGAGACCATCCTGGTTTGGCTGCTTCGCATACTTCTTTTCGTATTTGTACTGTTAGGGTTTGCAGATCATGACTGTTGGGATCTTGGAGTGTGAGACTTACTTCCCAGAGCTTATCAGTGTGCTCGTCCGGAATTATTTCTATTTGGTCAATGCGAAAAACCGTATGGGAGGATAAGATTAGTTCTTTCTCTTCTTCCTGGAAGAAGCTTTCTGTGCTTGCGTCGGCAAAAGCGTTTGTTGAATCGCGGCATGCTGCTAGGTTAATGGTCATGACAAAAAGGATTCCTACAGAACTCGGATCGTTGATTGCTACAGATCGTGCGTAAAGTTCAAGAGAAATATCTCTGTCATAACTTGTAGATAAAAAACTATTGAACGACATAAGTCCACCTATCGTATTTTTCATCTTTGCAAAGTCTGCGAAAGATAAACTTTGACCTCGGAAGACTTTGAATGATCCAGTAGAGTTTCTATTTATGGTTTGTTGCTCGCGATGTATTTTTTCAATATGCAGTTGTTCGGATAGCATGTAATCAAGTTTCTGACATTGGCCTGGGATAATATAAAGCTGTACAGTGTGTTTCAAAAGTCTTGGGACGCGACCAAATTTGTTCATATGAATGCCGAGAACAATATTTAATCATTATGTCTCTATATCAACTTCGGGTGGGCCAGACGGCCTTTCAAATCACATATAATTGAATTGCATCGTCGCTTATAATAACAAAAATATAAACATGATAATGTATAAATGAGCTTTTCGAAATCGGCAAGCTATATATTTTGAAAGATCTTCTAATAAAGTATTGAAAATATTTCTATAGGAAACAGCAAAGGACATAATCGCTAACTAGTTATCTTAGTCGTCTAGTCAATGCTCGTTACGAGTCAGTAGTCAAATGTTGAGATCAACTTCTACGCTCAGTAGGCGGCCTGACATAGATATAATCTATGAACGCATTACGTATGTGACGAAAGAAATTATGCTATTTGCAGAGCCAAATAATGCTTGTTCTAACGGCAAAGTTTATATTTATTTTCTTATTTAAAAATTTATTAATCTACTGTACATAATTATTTCAGCAGTGGCTTCTAATTAGACACAAATAAAATAATGAAAAGAAGCACATGGTGATTCATATTGCTTTCTTTTCTTTTTGTGTTTGTTTTAATTCGGTGTGATCCGACTTTTTTCTACTTAATATTGGTTTTGACATTTTCAGTATTCTTTAAATATCATCTCTAGTAAGTCAGCTATACTACATGAAGAAGAATATTTTTCACTCATTCATGTGATTATTAAACCGTGAAAATTATATTTGGGCTGCATCGGATATTGCAAATTGTTTTCGAACGGTCAGGCAATCTACGACATATAAATCGAGATGCTCTAACGAAAAAGGCAATTATTTATCAGGAAAATGACTAAGTTTTTATAGGGAAAGATCTAGTCAACCATCTCTGCCAACTGCTATTACTGCTTACCGAAACTTGGTATTAAAAATAACAAATAAAACACAAGCATAATGTAAGAAATGTATCAGCAAATTTAAGACGAAAAGGTTAAGAAACATCATCATCATCGCTTTATAAAATTACGAAATAAACGCGATTGCAATGATCTCAAAAGAAAAGAATCCAAAATTTAGGATATGATAAAAAAGATCACATGTTCAATCTGCCGACAAATTAAGAAGAAAGGACGGGGACACATCAGAAGTTAAATTGACCCATAGCATTTTTCTCGGCCAACCCCATTGAAGTATACATCAATTGCGAGAACATATTGGAATTAACATTTTGACACTATTTTCATAAGGTTTCGATTGAGTTTTCGAAGCAAAAAGCTGTTAACGAAGTAACTCACTTTGTAGTCATTAATCCAATCATCGATCCTATCATACTCGACTCAATTATACAGCAAATTGGCTAGAAAAAAATAGTTGTTAAATTAACTATTTAATAACACTTTTATAGAGCTTCAATCCTATATGTGAATCAACAATCGACGGTTTGATTCAGTGGGGATAGGAACTGGTATGTTGGCGGACACTGTTCATTTAGGTTTTATGTTTACCATCAACTTCTATCTTTCAGAAAATATGACGTCTTAAAACTTGAAATGGCCAAAATTCTAGTATTTTCGCATTGGATAGCCCTTTTCAAAAGCTGAAAAACTGTATCTTTTCTACAGTTTTCGAAAATATGACCACCAGGAAAGTCCATTGTGGTAATTTCGCTCAGGGTAGAGTTTTTTCATTTGTTTAAGTGTTTTTTTTACAAGTAATGAGATTCTTTTTGACAATAAAATCGTTATCTAAGTGAAAAATTATACCAGATTCGAACTCAGCATCGAAAACTGAGTTGACTTATTATGACAACCGTGATGGGATATGATATGTGTCATCATATACGGTTATATATAAAGTTACCTCATAATACATCTTCTTTGATACATCGGTACTGCTAATGGTGATATCGTTTATATCCCATTCATCATGTCATCACCCTGTTCTTAATTGTATATGACGATATAGAATGTATGAGTTCATTACATGCACTATCACTCTTACTCTCACATACGTATATACTCAAGGTTTGTTCTTTTTCTTATATATGATTCTGTTTCTTGCGTTCTCTCTCTTTCTCTTTCTCGTGCCATTATCTCTGCATAAAGGATGGACAGAAGAGAAGAGGAGATTCTTCATGTGGAATTAACTCAAGAATCGTTACCCTTATGTATTTTTCAAAGATCTCCGAAGATTTTCGTTATTCGTTCAAAAACGTCACCCCTACTTTCCCTCAGGGTTGCCGATTGTTTTAAAATATGGGAGGGGCAAAACATTCTCCAGAAAATCGGAAAATTTTGGCAGAAAGTACCTCATTTAACATTTCGACAGCAATTGAGTCAATAATGCTACTTTCATCCACTTTCTGAGAGATTTTGTGGAAAAAAGGATTTCTTTTCGATTTTCTGCCAGAAAAATGCCAAAAAGTGCATAAACGTCGAATTTCTGCAAGAACTTACAATGAGACTTGTTAAATTTTGGCAGATAGTATTGGAATTTTTGCAGAAAATCGGACATGTTTTCAATTTCTGGGAGAGGGGGGCCTCTCATCCCCTCAGTAATCGGCTAGCCTGCTTTCCCTCAGGACAGTTCAAACACTTTGGAGAAAAACTAAAATTTTTCGGAGATCTTGGAAAAATACATGAATCAACTCAGTTTTCGATGCTGAGTTTGAACCTCGTATGCTTTTTTACTTAGATAACGATTTTATTGTCAAAAAGATTCTCATTACTTGTAAAAAAAACACTCAAACAAATGAAAAAACCCTACTCTGAGCAAAATTACGACAATGGATTTTCCTGGTGGTCATATTTTCCAAATTGTAGAAAAGATACAGTTTTGTAGCTTCTGAAAAGGGCTACCCAAGACGCTCGATCCTGCCTCCGGATTCTCCAGGAACCCATCGGAACCAGCAATGGATCACTCCAGAAGCCAGCATGTTTCCCACTCAAATCTGCCAGGATCCGACAGGGATTTCGCCGGAATCTCTGCTCTCGGAACCCGGGCCGGAATTCAAAGGAAAATGGCCCGGTCGTTTCCTGTCGGATAATACAACCGAATATTGTCCCAATCGATCGACTCGAACAACCGGATGATCCCGGTTTACAAAGACTTCTGCACATATTTGGCCGGATTCTATCAGATTCCGATGGCCAGGACCTCATAAAAAATCTTTCATACAAGCGTTATTTAACCACAAGATGAATCAACTGCAGTATTCAGAAACCCGCACACCGACCGAAAAGACTATGCCTGATGAATAATGACGCATAATCCAAACCCTCAGCGCTCAAACAGGTCAACAACAATCACCCTAAAAAATTGTAACCCGAAAACAACAACATCCGACTCATCAATACCCACACTTTGAATAATCCAAAACCAACCTACTATACATCGTATTCATTAAACACATTACCAACTCGTTTACTGCGCCATCTTCTTGCATTTCAGTTCTTGAAAACATCGTCCTGAAATCATTTTGCACTCATCAAAATCACTGATAATTCATAGAAAATGCATCTGAATATCATTGAAGAGTTAACTTGTTGCATAAAACCGAACACAAAATCAGTCCAAACATCATTTTTTTAGTCATCGAATAATTCAGTAAGTAGTCGAATATCGTTCAAAAATCATTCTCGATGGTTACAATATACCTTCTCTTCATGAAACAGGATTCTAACCATCTTTTGCTACGGATACAACCACACTTTACTTCCACGAAAATCACTCCACAGCTCAACCTGGACGTATCGAAAAATTCACTACGACATAGAGAATCGGTCAGATAAGCATTATCGGTGGTTCCAACATAGCTTTTCTGCATGAAACAGGATTTTGAGCGACGTTCGGAAGCGATTTAATGGGATAAGGAATTTTTAATATTATGTGTAAGCAACATTGGAGCGTCCGCAAAAAGCGTTTGTTGGTGATTTGAAATGATGCTTTTGGTGTTATCAGACCGAGGAAACATGTGTGTAACGCGTTTTAAATTTTGTAGAATTGCATGGACGAACAAGATAGTATGAGCATATAGCAAGTTTATCTTGCCCGGGGTAATCATTAATGACTGTTGATTTCTGGTTTGACGAGGGGTAGGGTGTACAATTAAGTTATATTGGCTGGAGTTATGATAAGCGAGTTGAGTGAGATTCATTCGGGTCGATAACTTCGTGCAGTATCAGTAAATACGTAATCATGTTGCTCATATGGACTGATTGTTTATAAGTAAGCTATTGGATGAATCNTTAACAGCTTTTTGCTTCGAAAACTCAATCGAAACCTTATGAAAATAGTGTCAAAATGTTAATTCCAATATGTTCTTGCAATTGACGTATACGTCAATGGGGTTGGCCGAGAAAAATGCTATGGGTCAATTTGACTTCTGATGTGTCCCCGTCCTTTCTTCTTAATTTACAAAAAGATCAATTAGCTGAACTACGAGAGGATAGGAACATTGAGTTTTCTGGCAAGTTCATTTTGGAATTATTCTCAAATCCACACCATGAAGGTATTTGAGCAAAATTTTCTGAAGAAATAGCACTAGCAATTCCTCATCGACCAAAAAGGAAGTTTGCAAATGGAATGTTTTTTGTGAGGTATTTCTTATGAAGGCCTCGTTCCCAAAAATGGTCTATTTAATGCCATATCATGATAAAAAAAGTAAGTAAAGGAAAAATAGAGAAAAACATTTGTATGAACTGACATTTGTGTTCAACATTTATTTAAGAAGTTGGTTATAACGTAATTAGAAACGCATGCCGAAAAAAATGTTAAATTTCAAGATGACGCTAATGCCAAACAACGAGCAAAGATTGCATTAGAAACTGTTAATGAATTATTTATTGATCGAATTTCACCTCAAGAAGATGATGCGAAATTTGCTGACGTATGGCCCATCGGCAACATTTGGGGAATATTGAAGAAAATACTATATGCGCAGAATAATTTTCGAGTTTTTAATGGCTAAGATATNCGACTCATTGTAACATATATGATAGAGGCAAGTGTTTATTGAATTCTAGCGCAAGCCGATTCGAAAAATATTTAACCTTACATTTTTTTATGGCATTTTTACGAAGAGCACGATAAAACTCACTGCCATGTGAGGCCATTATCGGTGCCGTATATCTCAAAAAGGCATCAATCATTTGAGCTGAAAACTTTGGTACATCAACAACCAACTATGTTCTATATATAAAAAAATTTCACCTCCAATAATTGAGTCTTTGGTATTTTATACCACGTTGTACACTGGAGCATGGTCTTGAACGCTGCGCTGCCACATTAAAAAGTGAGTGTATATTTTTGGAGAAAACCAAGGCTCAAAATCGACTTTGAGCAGAAAATTGATTTGCACTCCAGATATCCTGCGCAAACGCTTTGCTCTAGAGAGCTCAAATTTATATGGTGATTAGATAGACTTGAGATATGCTTATGTGAGAAATTTCAGGTCTCTATCATTTCTCAATCTGGAGATATGAGCAGCCGAAATTGGTAAAAAAAATGATTTTTTCTCTCAATGGCGAAGTCCATAAAATACCAAAGACTCAATTGTTGGAGGTGAAATTTTTTTATATGTAGAACATAGTTGGTTGTTGATGTACCAAAATTTTCAGCTCAAATGATTGATGCCTTTTTGAGATATACGGTACCGAAAATGGCCTCACATGGCAGTGAGTTTTATCGTGCTCTTCGTAAAAATGCCATAAAAAATGTAAGGTTTAATATTTTTCGAATCGGCTTGCGCTAGAATTCATTAAACACTTGCCTCTATCATATATGTTAAAATGAGTCGAATTGGAGACTATCGTTTGAGCACTGTCCTAAGGAATCGGTCGTGGCTTACGTAGACTGGCTCATGGGTAGAACAAAGATTGAAAAAACAAGCTTCAGATGATTGGGAAAAGATGATTTATGAAATTCCCAAAAGATTTGATGAAGTAATAAAAAGTGGTGCGAAATCACTGCATGAGAGTTAAATCAGATTTCTGTGCAATCAGATTATTGTGGGTATTTGTAATATCTTGTCGATTTCGAAAACTTCATTTATACATTATCATGTTCATATTTTTGTTATTATAAGCGAAGGTCCAATTCAATTATATGTGATTTGAAAGCCAGTCACGACTGCTCGAATTTGATGTAAAAACATAATGGTTAGATATTGTACTTTGTATAACACATAAGCGAATTTTGTCGTGTTTCAAACCTTATCAAACGTCCTGTATTTGTTTAGCCTTTGAGTTCGAGGAAAGGATTATAACTAGCAGCGTAATGGTATTGTTTAATGCTTCACTGTTGTAGCTGATACTTGTGGTTAGACATATATGTATTCTGAATCTATTGAAACGTTGAAATGAGGAATTTAAGTATGCAGTAGTTCCGTTAGTTTTTTCGATTCAATTTAAGAATCGGAGTTTAAAAAGGGGTCTATCATGTAGATAGAAATGAATACCTAATAACAAATAATTTGATCAATATAGTGTACATATCTATATCCCTTTCCCTAGATGAAAGAATTTCGGAGCTTGTTTTGTTAGGTTTGAAGCTGGGAAAATTCATTTAGTCAACGAAATATTTGAAGCATTGGGAAGCCACGACAAGTATATTGAGCTGATCATTTTTTTGTTGCCTCTGAAAATTTTAGAAAAATCTACTACAGTGAACTATGAAACTGATGCAGAAGAAGAAGAAGAAGAATACCCTGCCTTTCGGCTACCTTGCGGTGTGGGGTGTTGTCCGAGGACAATTTCAAGGGCCCGATTTTTTTTCTACATCTATTGCTAAATGTAGCTCTGGAAAGAAGGCCGGCCTGACTCAGAGTTCTTCGCGCTTAATTGCTTAAGCTCCCCGTACACACTGACTAACAACATAATAGCTACAAGAGCTACTTAATGTATGCCACACGTAGTCAGTTTGTTATCGGATGGGTGATCCGAGATAATATAGCCCTTAGTAACTTATCCAAGGTCATTCTATAACTTGATGGAGCCGAGGTTCGATCACAGTATCTTGTGGATATGTGTCAAACATCTTAACCATTCAGCCATAGCTGCAACTGATGCAGACAAGCACTTCGACGAACAAATAGCGTTGTTTCTTCTTTTAAAGTACTTATCGTGGTTTCTTCCAATCCAGTAACCACCATATCATAAATGAAATCATATATCCAAAATCGCCCAACTAATTTGAATTCATGAATTTCATAATTGTTTTTGGGGAGGGTGGATGTAGAGTGTGGGGTGTGGGTTCAGAAGAAGACACCCACACCCACACAACAGAATTAATGCGATTCAATTATATCTTTGCATAGCTCAAGTCGAACACTATATGCATTCATCAGTTCAAGTCGATTAGGTCTTGAATATGAATCACCATACAAAAACTAGAATCGCTACTAAGAAACAAAATGACAAAAATAGACGACTATATTAAAAATGTTTGGAAAACATTTTTTGTTACATACAATATGTATTTCTTTATGTTACTTTCATAAAACTTCCGACGCC